AAAAAATTTAAATTAAAAAAAACATTATCTCAAATTAAAAAAAAAAAAGAACCAAAGAAGACCCTGTGGATCAGTGAGTGGTTTGACCATCAGCCTGTCGTCAGCTGGCACTGAACCACACAGCATTTCATTTCTTTGTACCAGGAGGATTACAGATGCTCACTGTGCCAGTCTCAACTGTTTTGTAAAGCGGAAAAATAGGACGACAAATCCAAAACAAAATACTCACTTCAGCCTGAGAATCCTTGTCCAGAACCTTCTTCATATCAGCCCCATTTCATTGTACAAGTGATTAATGCAATTGCTGTTAATGAGTTGTAGACCAGTAAAAGTATGAATTGACATATGTTGTGTGACAGATGTATTTACAACAACATAAAGTAAGTGCTAAGGCTGCGTAACCAAATACTTCATGAAATTTGTTTTTTTAATTAGGAGATTTAGGGTCATGGTTTTGTGAGATAACGTGTTTTGGTGCTTCTGTGCTGCCTCCTTGTCCCTTGTATGGCGCCTTGGGCTAAAAGCTTGCGGTTTGGCCATCAAGATACAACAGTTAGTCCCTCTTCACCTGGAGCAACAGAGGAGTGTGCAGAGCCAGGAATAGGAGGATATGGACTATGTCGAAATCACCTCCATAACCAACTGCCTGCCTTGCCCTGAGACCATTATTGAGCATCTATATCCAAGAAGCTCTAGGAAAAACTTCATCAAAAGGGGTAAATTGCAGAACAGATTTAAAATTCTCATGGAGTCCAGAATGTCATGGGTTTATTTGATCTTCTTGTTGGCATTCACATCCTAGGTGACAGTTGCTGAAGGGAAGGATTAGGATGAAGGGGAATCAGAAGTAGGGGTGGTCAGTCCCGTGAGCTCCAATAAACCTCCCAAAACTATTACCATGGTATAATCTTTAAACCTTAAACTCAGAATTTCCCCTGAAGTCTTTTTTGAACCAAACAATAGTTTATACTTTGTTAGTAAAGAACATCTACCTTGACAATACACAGCAAAGGTTGTAA